CTGGAGCAGTAACAGGGGCAGCCCTGGCATTGACCACAGAGGATCACTCCCATGAACAAATTGTGCAGTGCGCTATAACCGGGGCTGCCATATCTACTGCTGCTAATCTTCTTACCGGCATTTTTTAGGTTTTCGTACTCGGGTTTTTGACCGAGTTTTGCTGTGTTTTTTTAGGACTTTGTCTACTTTTTCGTTCTTCTTTCTTTCTTCTTGCTTCGTGAAAAAAAAGTAACTGGAACTTAGTTCACATATGTTGTTTTGATGGTTGAATTAGTTATTTTCCTTGTTTTTTTTTTTTTTAAGCTGTGTAATTTGAAGTTGAGAAAATAATGGTATTGGTTGACTGCCATGATAGACTTGTGTTTAAAGGTCTGAAAAATGCACATATCAAACACAAGTCCCGTGTGATTTCGGGACTAAGCTAGTGTCGGTTCAAATCGATTCATGCACGACTTAACACAGATGTCATAAGGGTTCACTTATTCTCATACCAATTACAATTGCTGGACATGATTTAGAATAGTTGTTTAGGGTCATTTTCTTACAAGGTACAACATGGATAAGGCTAGTGTAGCCTTTTTTTTTCTTTCATTAATATAGCTTAATTGTAAATTTGGACCTGTTAGATTATGAAATCTATACCATCTTAAGTCATGTAATTTAAGGTTTTTCTGTAATTTCAGATTATGAATGTTCTGATTTGAGGTGATATACACCAATCTTAAGTCTGTTAGATTATGAAATCTATACCATCTTAAGTCATGTAATTTAAGGTTTTGCTGTAATTTCAGATTATGAATGTTCTGATTTGAGGTGATATACACCAATCTTAAGTCATGTAATTTAAGGTTTTGCTGTAATTTCAGATTATGAATGTTCTGATTTGAGGTGATATACACCATCTTAAGTCATGTAATTTAAGGTTTTGCTGTAATTTTTTAGTTCTTGGTCGTCAAAGTTGTCAATTTATACCATATACAATGAGAAAGTCTTTTTTACGTCTTTTTTTACTGTATAAATATTTTTTAACAAGTATCCATGTTGTATCTTTTTTCCACTAAAACAATGTACTTAACTGGATTTTTTTAACAAGTACGGATGTTAAAAATTATATTTTTTTTACAAATATTTTTTTTACTAAGTGCAAAGAGCGACAAACGACTATTGACCATTGGAATACAATTACGCGTGCCTACGCTCCGACTCAAAATTTTGGAGTCCTCTTAATTGAAATTGTCACTGCATTATGCTAATTCTTTTCAATTAAATTGGAAGCTATGATTTTTAACTCATTTTACGATTCATAATTGCTCCTTCATATGGTCTTGGGTCTTGGCAATTTAACTCATTTTACAATTCATATCTACTTTCAAGTATTATCTACTCATCATAATGTAGATATTGATGCTGATATCAAATAAAAATATCAATCTCATGATGGAACATAATTACTACGACCTAAGAGGGCATTTTTGATCGAGTTCAATCAATGAAAGAGAGAGAGAAAAAACACCTAATAGAAACAAAAGTTCTTATAATTGAGAAGTGATTTCATGTTCGAATTTGCGTGTATCTGATTCAGTGAGAAGGTAAAAGAGCATTTCGGATTTCGAGTTTTGGTTTATCTGATCTCATGTACCACTAATTTTCTTTTTCATTTTTCATTTTTTTTGTATACAAAGTCCCCATTTACTGGACCCACCTAAAAAAAAGAAATATAAAACTCGAATCATCTTTCATCTTCTTCCTTGGCCCTGCTAATTTTTCTCTAATTATGTCCCTTTTGCAAAGATATTTATGTGATTATTATTTTAATTCATCTTCATCAAAACTCAAGGCTCGTCCATACATAAATCCGCCCCTGCGAAATAGGCATAAGAAAATATGATAAATAAAGAGATTAACATATCATAAATAAAGGGCTAGAATGGAAATAATCTCTTTCGTTGCTTACTTCTGCTGCTTTAGCTCGCTAGCAAATATGTCCAATAGTTGAATTAAGTGGCGATATTTCGGCATAACACCTTCCAACTCATCAGCCTAAATTCATCAACCAAAAATGTAATTAGGAACAATCATGAACAACTATTTTATTAAGAATAATTAAATCAATATATTAATTATATTAGAATTCAACAAACCATGCTCATTCTTCGAGTTTTTCGTTCAATCTACTACAATCTCTCCATTCTTTGCCTCTATTCTCCTGAATGATAACAAGAAAAACAATGCCATATATAAATATATTATCAAGATATATTGATTTTACTTTAACACCATCAAACAATTATGTGTGTCTATCATTTTACCAGTCTTTTTCGCCAGAACGCTCTCCTTTCCCACCCCATTATTATGCAGGTGCCTTCGATGTACTCCCTTAAGTTATGCAATCTATACTTATATTAAAGGGAGTCATATTTACCAAATTATGTAGCCAGAAAAGTCAACAGCATTTATTGCATTATTATTTCTGTATTATACAATCTATACTTATATAAAAGGAGATTCTATTTACTACATTTATTGCATTACTATTTCTGTATTATACAATCTATACTTATATAAAAGGAGATTCTATTTACTACATTTACTATACAGAAAAGTCAACTGCATTAAATGTCATTACTATTTTCATATTATAATATTTTATTTATTTAATTGATTTATTTATTTGTTTTATTTTAAAAAAGTAAGTATAATAAAAAAAATTTAATAATAAAAAAATCAAATACCAAATAAAAGTGTACACTTTGACTTATTTGATTATATTTGGTATTTGATTATACCAAATATATTCCTATTTAGTATATACATTAAATACTTACTAAAGTATTTATTTGTTTTATTTGTCAAAGTTAAGTATAGATTTGTTTATATTATCAAATCATAAAAAAATATTAAATCCATATTGTAAAAAAAAAAAAAAATCATATAATTTTATAACAATTATACTACACTATTTAACAATATTTCTTTTTTATTATATAATAAAATAATAATTAAATATTATATGGTGAACAACAATAAGTAAAACTGTTACTTTCTCTTATATCAAGGGATAAATTTAAATGCTAAAATTAAATTTTTATTAGGATAAATGTTTTAATGAGATAATATATTAATTATTTTACAAGCTAGCCCTAACATGCTCATATTTAATGTTTTAAAAGATTTAGAAAAAAACTTATAATAACTCTATTATTTTTTAGACTTAAACGTTGATTAAAAGAGGTAAAAATTCTTATTTTTTTAGATTTAAACGTTGATTAACACCATAGATTGAGATTTTATATTTAGTAAAATTCCTAATTGTAATAAAAAAATTAATTTTTGTTATATTTTAGAATATCTTTAAATTCATTATAAAAAGAAAAGAAAAAAAAACTACAATGAAAAAAGCAAGTCAGCTATATATCGATTTGTTGTACTCCTCAAATCACATTCACAATTTGGCTACAAGGAAAGGAAACTCATTGATTAAAATATTATTTTGTCAGTAGTCTTAATGTACAAGAAACTTTAGGGGGTGATTGTTTATGAATTTAACTAGTTTTTATTTGGTTTGTTTTTAACTATAGTTACTTTTGAAAAAATGTGGTATGGTTAGTTGTTAGCAAATATATTAAAATAATATTTAAATAAAATAATTAAAGTTGATTTGATGTAAAGTAGGAGAAAAATGATTGGAAGGGATAGTTAGTTAAAATTATGTGAGTGGATGAATAGTGAATTAAAGTTGATGTGATGTGTAAGAATGATTGGTTGATATTATTTAATTTTATTGATAATATGAGAGATAGTGAGGTTGAGTTAAAGTTGAGTTAAATTTGAGTTTTGATTGGTTTTTTTACTGTAGAAAGTGTAAACAATCGCCCCCTTAAGACTCCACTTGAATATTATAAAACTTTTATTGAACATTGTACAATTTTCTTGCGTATTATAAACTTTTATTGAATATTGCATTTTATAATATAATATTCTCCAAATAAATATATCCCGTGCTTCGCACGGGTCACGTACTATATATATCTCGTATATTTTTCTTTACTCATGTATATAATTATAAGCCTGGATAAATAGCCTTAAAATTGTGCACCTCGTGCATCGCACGGACTCTATACTAGTTGCATCTGAAGAGGGATGAAGCAACTATTTACTAAAAATAGTAAGCAAAAAATCCGCCAAAATTAATTACATGCCATTTTGGGAAATTTTTTGAAATTTTTTTAGGCAGCATTAAATGCTCCTTAAATATTGCTAAATAGTGGTGGATTAGTATGAACACGTCCAGTTTCTCTTTCTTTGTAGACATACACTCAATAAATTAGGTTTAACTTTCCCAATATCAACGCTAATTGCATCTATACAAATCAACCTAATGAAAGCTTGGCGACTTACGCCTTTGAATTGGAAGAGGCCGATATCACCGTTGGAGGAAATGGCGCGGTGAGCTGACTCAACCGGGATGATTAACTGCACAAGTGCTCCGATCGGGACATATCCATCACCGGCGAACACCTGCTCGCCGTCATTTTATTATTCCGGCGAAAGACCAAACCAGATATCGTACGTCAAATTGAAATCGATGGGAATGACCTCTGAATTTAATGTTTTTAGGCCGGTTGCGCGGGGCTTTGCTTGATTTCTCCGACGAGGTTCGAGTGATTGGAGGTCATCATTTCAGATCAAATCCTGTGCACATGAATTCAACCGATGTGCTCCTCAGTTGTGTGATTTCAATTGGCTTTTCTAAAATGAAATCCCGATTTGTGAATGGAGTTTGACCTTTTGATTTATTCATTTAGGTATGTAGAGTAGCGGGTAGATTCACTGCGTAGTATGGGGAGTATATCTCTTTCTTCGCTTTCATTTCCTTATCGATTTTCAAAAATCTTCTTCGTGATATAAGATATTGTTTAAAAATAATATATGTAAATATTTATATCTATTTATATATAAAAAAAAAAATTGATTATTTTCTACATATTAACGATTTCCGGCTAAAATAAGTGTTGTTTACTGAATCTGAAAAATATTTAAACATTTATGTTTTAAAATGTACTAAAGGTATTGGGCTGGTTTATTAAGGTAATATTAATCACATAAAAAGTTCGTTTTTTTTTAATCCATTTCGACTCATTTATAAAATACAATTTAGGTAATTGCGGTTGACTTATTATGGTAATACTAATCTATATATCAGTCTCCAATATATCGAGATACACATTCCCTAAAACACTAACTTTAAGAATAAAGTGTATCATTTGACTTGAGTAATCATATATTTAAAGAAAAATAATAAATATCCACAATTAATACTAATTCTAATATTAACACTAATATTCAAAGTTTATTATAATAACTTTAGTTCTCATGTGCTTGAATCTAAGGTACGAGATTGATTGTCACAAAGTTCTCCACTCATGTGATTGAATGTAAGGTATTGACTGGATCTACAGAGAGAAGGTGTTGATAACTCATATGAAACACCTTCCGACTTTAGAGTACCTTTAAAATTTCAACAGAGACAATTTCCCCTAATGGTTTCTTGTGTCATGACAATTAGCAAGAGTCATAGTCAGTCTTTATCATATATTGATATGTTTTTGAAGAAGTCGGTGTTCAGTTACGGCTAGTTGTATGTAGCTGTTTCTCGTGTCACTAATTGAAAGGGATTGGAAATATTAGTTTACGAGGAGGATAGTGTCTACAAGGGAAAAAATTTTGTCTACAAAAAAGTTTTTAATAATATATAATAGTATTTTTTTCTATTTATTTAATTTTTTTTATTCACGAAAATAATAATAAGACTGAGTAAATAACTTTAAAACTATGTACCTCGTGCATCGCACGGGATCTACACTAGTTGGGTTAATAGGTTGGGGCCCTTTTTTCGATTATACTTTTTTGTTAGTTTATGAATTTGATTGGTTTAGGTGCAAGTGGAGATGCAGGAGGTACCATTACCCCTGAGATTGGCGCCTCCAAGAATTGTCATCAGGTTCCAGACCTTAGAGGTATGACAAGACTCGACTAATTTCTCTCATTTAACAAAATAACTTCACCTTGTGCGAGCATATATATGGTGTGGCACTTATCTTCCGTGAGTATTGGAGATGCTCTTACTTTCAAGTATTATCTACTCATCATAATGTAGATATTGATGCTGATATCAAATAAAAATATCAATCTCATGATGGAACATAACTGCTACGACCTAAGAGGGCATTTTTGATCGAGTTCACTCAAACTAACCTAGCTATTTAAATCAATAAAAGAGAGAAAGAGAAAAAAACAACAAATAATAGAAACAAAAATTCTTATAATTGAGAAGTGATTTCGTGTTCAAATTTGTGTGTATTTGATTCAGTGAGAAGGTAAAAGAGCATTTCGGATTTCGATTTTTGGTTTATCTGATCACATGAGTGTTTTACTCTACCACTAATTTTCTTTTTCTTTTTTTTTCATTTTCTTTGTACACAAAGAGTCCCCATTTACTGGGCCCACCTAAAAAAAAAAAGAAATATAAAAGTCGAATCATCTTTCATCTTCTTCCTTGACCCTGCTAATTTTTCTCTAATTATGTCCCTTTTGCAAAGATATTTATGTGATTATTATTTTAATTCATCTTCACCAAAACTCAGAGCTCGCCCATACGTAAATCCGCCCCTGCGAAATAGGCATAAGGAAATATGATAAATAAAGAGATTAACATATCATAAATATAGGGTTGGAATGGAAATAATCTCTTTCGTTGCTTACTTCTGCTGCTTTAGCTCGCTAGCAAATATGTCCAATAGTTGAATTAAGTGGCGATATTTCGGCACAACATCTTCCAACTCAACAGCCTAAATTCATGAACGAAAAATGTAATTAGGAACAATGCACAACTATTTTATTAAGAATAATTAAATCAAGATATTATATTAGAATTCAAAAACCATGCTCATTAATTCTTCGAGTAATTCGTTCAATCTACTACAGTCTCTCCATTCTTTGCCTCTATTCTTCTGAATGATAACAAGAAAAACAATGCTATATATAAATATATTATCAAGATATATTGATTTTACTTTAACACCATCAAACAATTATGTGTGTATCATTTTACCCGTCTTTTTCGAAAGAACTCTCTCCTTTCCCACCCCATTATTGTGCAAGTGCCTTCGATGCTCGCCCTTAAGTTCGACAACTGCATCTGAAGAGGGATGAAGCAACTAACTCTGGCTATCGTATCTACAACTTCTGGAACGAGACCCTCAACGGGTAGCTGCTCTAGGCACTAAACACAAACATATAAATAATTAAATTAAATTAAATTAAAGTGATATATGATCAATTGACTAAACAATTAGAATATTATTCACCTCAATTTGTCGTTCTAAGTGGTATTTGGAAATCAAAGGATCCACCTCTTCTCCTTTTTCTGCAGCAAGTTTCTTTAGTGCTTCGTACTCATCTTCAATTACCAAAATCTGATCGAGTAAAGCATATGCTTCATCCCGGACTCTAGTACGCATATAATAGCACTTCTGTCGAAAGGGATTATTTAGCCCAATTAGTCAACAACACAAACAAACATATTCAGAACTAAGTACTCAATCAAAATAATAATAATAATAATTTTGTTCTAAAATCTCTGATTTTAGTTTATCTTACCCCACGACTACCAATATCAAAACGTATGCCGTCATATGATGATGGATCCTCCTCATCATCTATATCGATCTCATAATCATCATAAAAGATACGACTTTCAGCTATCACTGTTTGGATTTCAATATGTTTGACTCGTAATTTGTTTTCTTCAAGCGTAAATGGAACTCCTAGCTTCTGGGGGTTGAAAAAAAAAGACAAAAATATTAGACTGAAAAACGANCCAATTTCATATTTAACCAAAAAAAAAAAAAAAAAAAAAAAAAAAGAATTACCACCTCACACTTTCGTTTGAGAAAAATTCGAAAACAGTGAAGAGTGCGTGCTGACCAGTCACACGCGATTGACAGATACGAAATTTGATCACGTGTATATGAGAGCAAAGATATCATGTCCTGTTTACATAAACGAAAAAAGCTAGAGTCAATAAAAGGGTGATTATTATACGAACAATTGCTTGTTAGTTACACACATGTGTTAGTTATTGTGTAATAATATAATCTTATACCATGATAGTCTGAAATAAGGATTTTGTGCGCTCCACAATTTTGTAGAGACTGGAAATCTTGGAGCTACAATCGTTACAGGAGCAAATCTTGCGCAAATCGTAGTTGGGTGGAAATATGTTAGCGGACCAGACATTTAGTATTCCATGTTGCCTCCAAGAATAGTCATCAACTTTCTTACTAGACATGTTTTGGAATTGCTGAGGAAGAAAGAGGGAATAAATAGAAAGAGGGAATAAATAATATATGCACAAGTTAATTAGCTTCACAAAAATCACGTTTAAATTTGACTGATAAACAACAAATAGTAGTCTGAAATACTTTGTTCTACAATTTCAACAAAATCAAAACAAATTCTTTAACAAAACGATAAATCAGGTGGCATTCACTAATATACCTTGTTGCTCACACAATTGATGAATAGTATTTCACAGCTAACGATCAAAAAAAAAAAAAAAAGCTCAACAAAACAGATAAACAGTAACCCAGAAAAGTAGTGCTTAATAGTTAATACCATGAACATATGACCCAGAAAACTAGAGAAGTTACGAAGTTAAGTACCGAAATTCTTGGGCTATTGCAAGTTTCTTCGAATCTTCTGCTCCGGCTCGTGCGTGAATTCTATTGCAAAGGCAATCTCAATCGAGAGTAAATAAATAGGGAGGTCTTGGAATAGAAGTATAGAACTCATAATAGGATTAGGATTAGAATTAGGTAAACCCCACCCTACATATTAATTAAAATTTAAACTAAAAACTCGTGGAATGCGCTATATANTTACGTATTTTTTTTTTTTTTTCTTTTGGTGTCCTTTTGATACTGACGAACTTGTTTAATCAGCAATCGCGTTTATTTTAGCTGAATTTTTATTCTTATCCTTCAATATAAAGATTTTTTATAATTATTGATTTAACATTTTGAACATGAAATAATATCACATTAATATCAATCAATTCATTCGTCAAATTATAAATCTACCATTCATACATACATATACAAAACACTATATAAAAAAAGTCAACACACAATTACCGATAAAAAAAAAATGAACCACAAAAAATGTATACAAAACCATAAAAAATAAATATCTAAAAATCGAGTACAAAAAATAAAAGAAAAAAAAATGTCCACAAAATCACAAAATACAAAACAACCTAACTAACTAGGAGGAGTATATGCAATCCTAGCCTTACGATTTCGGGACCCTCTCCGAGGCCCCGGTCTCGAAGAAGACGATCCTGCAGTCGGTCCAGGCGTGGCTGGTTCTTCTTCTTGTCCACCTAATTAATTAATTTTTGTAAAAATCAGTAATTCGACCGGACAAATAAATAAAAACAAACAAAAAAAATATATATTTGTAGTTAAATAAAAAATCTCACCTTCTTCGTCTTCTTCATTCCCGTGGGATGGAGCGGCGGGTTCGCGGTCACGGCGTCTTCTCTCTCCACCAATGTGGGACGTCGGTCTATGCCTCGCCCGCTGGGACTGTGTCTGCTGGGGTGGGGCGTACTCCTCTTGAGATAAAATTTGCTCCGATGACGCCCTTTGTGTGACCGAATGACCCCCAACAGTCAGAGAAGCGTACAGAAGTTCCTGAGCTTGCTGGAACTGTGTCTGCGCTTGGGGAGGTAGCGTATCAATGTCTTCAATGTTCGATAGCATGTTATACGCCCCCTCCGTACCCGAATTCTGAAAATAAAATTCAATATCTATTAAATAATAATAATAATAACTTCCATAATAATAATAATAATAATAATAATAATAATAATAATAATAATCACAAATTAGCAGACACTTACCTGACACTTCTCCCGGTCGGCATATGGCTGAAACCCGCCGTCCTGTGAGATCGCCGCGTAGTTGTTAGGGTCATTGAGTAGTCTCACAGTCCTACTGTGATACCAATCAATGTACCCCTCTGCCGGCTGCAGGAAGGGATCCACCGGGACATCTGGGAGGATGTTCTGATCTCTCTGTTCGGTCCAGATCCTCCCAAGATCAGCATGGAAGGCCTCCCAATCGGTATATGCCCTCCCAGTCATGCCCTGACCTCTGTGGCGAGTGTCCCAGTCGGCCAGACTAGTAATGATCGGCGTCTGGGGGATGGGCTGGTGGCACCGAAACTGGCGGAGCACTCTATCAGGCTGGTGGGGTTCTGTGATGTTCCAGCAGAAGATCCACCCCTTGTACATCCAGAGATGTCGGTCTCGTGTACACTGGTCCGGGAGCCGACCCTCGTCTATGTACCTCTGATAGGGTACCCAATCGAACTGTAAAAAAAGAAAAAAAAACATTTATAGAATTATTAATGAATGTAATAAAAAAATAGAATTAAAAAAGTAACAATTATTTATTATTATGACCTAAGAAACTTACATCAGTCTCTCTTAGGCCACTCAGCTGATCTCGGATGGTAGCCGTGCCCGTCCCCAGGTGCCTCATGTCCCTCGATCCCACCCACCTTAAAAATCACAGAACAAAATTATTTGTAATTAAAAAAATTGATAATTGAAATAAGTTATGAGTTGAATATAAATAAATGGGGTATTATTACCTTGCACCCAAAGGACAACCAGGCTGAGAGCCGAAATGCGTCTTTTTCATGATTGGGCGAACACGAGGGATGCGTTCCCATGCCCAAACCTGCGCATATGGACATATACATTTTTTAGCACACATATTATTGTAATTTATAATAAATAAAATTAATATACAAACCACAAGTAAATAAATTTACCTGAATCAACTGCACGCAGCTCTTGATATATTTTTCCTCCTTCTCGTAAGCTTCGCAGAGCGCTCTATATACCCCCGCCAGAAGCGCTCCACCCCAGCTGTACCCCGGAATGTAATCAATGACATTCAATAGGGATAGCCAGTAGAGGTTGACTCCGTTGGCCCGATGAGAGGGGAAGAAGAAGGACCCAATACACCAGAGTATGAGGGCTCTCGCCCTCCCCTCGTACTCTGATGCAGGGAGTCCATCCTCCAGTGGTCGGGTGCACTCGTCTTCTAGACTACTGAAAAACAGGAACTGGCCTGAAATGTCCCAAGTCTTGGGGTCGTAGTCCTTGTCCCCGTCATTCTTGAAATACGTTTACATATATATATTAAAAACGACTCATGACTTAAGTATACATAAACACAAAAAAAAACTTAAGTATACATAAACACAATAAAAAAAAATAAGCAAATAAAAGTTTTAGGTAAAAATATACCTGTACATATGGGAGGTACCCTAGAGCGTTCGCGCAAACGGCTCTCCACTCTTGGGGAGTTCTCTGTACGGTATGTCCCCAGCACGGTTCCCCGTTGACGGGGAGGCCAAACAGTATCTGAACGTCCTGGAGAGTGATCGTGGCCTCCCCAAAGTCGAAGTGGAAGGTGTGCGTCTCCGGACGCCACCTCTCCAGCAGGCATGTAATGAGGCCGTTGTTTGTCGGGACCCGCCCCATCCGAAACACAGGCCCGAAGCCGGCCTTGTCGATCACCTCCCAGGTCCGGGCATTCTGCTTGTTGCCCTCCAAGGCAGCCCAGAACTGGGTGTCCGCACGGCGTGGCTTAACCACGCCGTGGCGAAACCCCGGTGCGTCCTCATATACCGCCTTGGACCGGTGACGGTTCTGAAGATATAGAAGTGACGGGTCATTGGGGCCGGGGTGTGGGGTGTATGGTTGAGGGTTCGAGGATGACGATGCCATTTTCTGCAAAAATGACCGAGATTGTAATATATGTTAATTTTGAACTGATCGAGATTTATATATTATTTAATAAATATTCAATTATAAATTATATAATAATTTCTTATCAAATTATATTAATTCGATTGATTTAATCAATTATAATTTCTTATCAAATTATTCACTAAACTAGTATTCGACCTTGTGCATTTGCACAGATGTAAATAAAATTAAACATATCGTATTATAAGTTATATTTATGTATATAATATTAAAATTATAAATTATATAATAATATTATATTTTAAAATTTGATCATTGGTTAAAATAAATTGTACACACGATTTTATTGCTTAGCTAGCAATTATATATATATAGATTCGACTCTTTGTTTTTGTATAATTTTAATTTCTTATCAAATTATTGAATTATAAATTTGATTGAAATTATTGACGACTTTCCCACATGTTCAGTTGAACTATGCTTGTGTTGCATATTGTCTTGTTGTGTACAGCCTAGTTGTTTCCACCTATTCTTCGATCGAGAGGATTTCAGGCATAATATTCCTAATTTCAAATATCTAACAATATTCATAATCGAGCATAGTATTTTAATTTCAAATCGAATGTAATATTCGAGCATAATATCCACCAATATTCACAATCGAGCATAATATTCTAATTTCAAATCGAAGAGAATATTCGAGCATAATATCCACCAATATTCACAATCGAGCATAATATTCTAATTTCAAATAGAAGAGAATAATCGAGCATAATATCCACCAATATTCACAATCGAGCATAATATCCACCAATATTCACAATCGAGCATAATATTCTAATTTCAAATCGAAGAGAATATTCGAGCATAACACCCACCAATATTCACAATCGAGCATAATATACCACGTTAAATGCAGTTCGATTTCATTATAAATCATCCAAATTCAAAATCATCCAAATACAAAATCTTTAATTAGTACTAAATCATCAAATTACAAAATCATCCAAATACAAAATATGTAACACCCCGCTTATCAGAGTAACTTTTTCGCAACCTTTTACTTCGATATCACTTTAACTTTTTCGAAATAATTGCAACTTACTCGGGATGCTACTAAATTCGTCTTCTTGAAAATCCGTTTATCTTTAAACTGTTGTCTAATACTTCTTTAGACTTATTAAAACAGATTTCCTTTAAACTTGCATTTAACATATTATCATCATATTTCTCATAAAAACTTGAAATCTAAAATTCATTAAAATGCAAGTTTAATAATTAATGTGCGTAGCAGAAATATTTGAAACGTGGTTAATTATACAAACTTTATAAATGTCCACATTAAAGCTTGTCTTCATTTTCTTCCACGATCCACACCACACGGCTCTTCTCACACCTCCTCGTTAACCTGTTACCTGAAACTAAAACTCATGGGGGTGAGTAACGAATATGGATAATCATAAACCGATATCTGATCGGTAACTTAAACTTAAACTTTCATTTCTCTGGCCGATGGTTAATCGGATACGTGTGCACACTCTGATGGATATTTCTCAGGCCCGTCTCGCCTCCATCAGAACTTAGGATATAATCTTTGAGACAAATTAATGCCTCCTCATCCCAAGCGTAATAAACCTTAAACTTCGGGATATAACTTTTGAGACAACTGATGGTCTCCTCATCCCATATCACATATCGTACTCAATGTGCTACCCATTCAGGGTCCCCACCTTTTCATCTTTGAAATCGTTTGTAACTCAATAAGTTCTGTACTGGTACTGTATCTGCAAGTTAAATCAAATATAGACAAATATACTAAGTACTATGCTCGTATACTCAATAAGTTCTTAGGATTATTAACTTATCCTATTCTTAAACTTGCTTATTCTCAAGTTTATACTTAACTTCACTTTTTACTTTTACT